TGATTTTCATCTGTTCATTTATTCAACAAATTTTTATTTTATTTTTTGAGACAGGGTCTTACTCTGTCACCCAGACTAGAGTGCAGTGGCACACCATGGCTCATGGCAGCCTCCACCTCCCTGGGCTGAGGTGATCCTCCCACCTCAGCCTCCAGAGTAGCTGAGACACCAGGCACGTGACCACCATGCCTGGCTAATTTTTTTTTTTTTGAGATGGGGTTTCACTACGTTGCCCAGGCTGGTTTCGAACCCCTGAGCTCAAGCAATCCTCTTGCCTTGGCCTCCCAAAGTGTTGGGATTACAGGCATGAACCACTGCGCCACGTTTGACAAATATTTATTGTACTTACTATGTGCCAGGGACTGTTTTAGGCCCTAGAGATAGTGCTGAACAAACTGCAAAAATCTCTGCCCTCGTGAATATTTAAAACTGGTATTGTTGGTATCCTCTTATATGTTTATTTTCTGCTTCTCCAAATAGATTAGAAATTCTTTGGGAGAAGGGACAAATTTTCAATGTCTGGTTCTTGTAAATACATATTTGCTGCTTGGTGGACTGAAGTTCTTAATCAGGCTGACCTTAATCCCTTAAGCTAAAACAAAAAAAGGTTCTCATCACCATAACAATATTTGCACCTTCAGGAAACACCAAATGCTCACCCAGTGTTAACTCCGATTCTCATAACCCTCTTTGAGTGAGGACAGTTGTAATCCCATTTCGTGGCCAAGAAAACCAAGGCCCTAGTTGCTAGCTGAGCAACACAGCAGCCAGATTTGAACCCAGCTCTCTTTCTTCACAGAGCTCATGCTCCGTGCTGCACTCGCCATTGTCCGTAAGAGCTTCAATGGCAGGAACATGGCCTTATTCTTCACTGTACACCCAGTTCCTAGAAGAGGGACTGGGACCCAGTTTCGCTCATTAAATATGCTGAGATATGTAAGCCGGCGCTGTGTCAGGCCCAGCTGGCCCCCATTCTGCTAAACTGTAGGCACAGGACCTAGCAATCTGCAGGCACAGGTGAGCCTCATTCTCTGAAGCAAGCCCGAGGGTTCCTTGGAGCCCCAATTCCCACTGGGCATTGTCTGATGTGACTGGGAGTGAGCTGGAGGCTTCTGGAGATGTATGAACCTCACCTCTTCTTTGGACTTTCCTGCAACACCCCTTCCCCCATGGGCCCTCCTCCTTAGGTTCCCAAAGGCCTGTTCTGAACCTCAGCTTGGGTAGTGAGGTCCCTCGTCCACCATGAACTCTCTCCTCCAAGGACCTGGACTCTTGCTCTTCTCTCAGCAGAAGACCAGGGGCCTGTCTCAACCTACACGCATCTCCCCAGCCCAGGCTCCCGCCACCAGATTACTCCCACACTGCACCCTACCTGCAGCTTCTGCATCTCTTCACTTAAAATTAGATCCTTGAACATTGGTGCCAAAAGAAAGAGTCTCAGTTTGCCTTGTCCCTCTGCGACTGAGCATCTGACCATCCTGCTGACAGGACAGTTTCACCCCCGAGTCAGTTCCTCCCACCCTGGCTGCCATTGCTTGCATGTTCACTTCCCTGGGAATGCCTGCTGTTGAGGCTTCAGTGGACCCATGCAACTGAGCATCCCGCACTCTGACAGTCATGACATCCCTGCTGACTGCAGTGCTCAGGTGACAAATGCCACTCATGACCTTTCTTTTCAACACATTTGTCCTGTTCCCTGGTGGTGACTCCCAATTGCCATATAATTTAAGTCACTCTAGGTCACTTGATTCACCTCAGCAAGCTTGCTTTGCTACTATCCGAGGAACACTGAATTGGGTCCCAGGTAACATTGGTCCATGCTCCTTGGTGGCATGCAGGACTCAGGTAAGTCATCCAGGATAGAGGCCAAAGTTGGCTTATATACTTCACCACTTTAGGCTAAGAAACACTCCTATACTACAACTTTTCTACAGAAGCCCATTAAAAGAACCTCTTACTGATCGGATGCCCCAAATATCCCCAGAATCAAGTGGTTCAGAGTAATTCTAGAGTGCTGACTCAAATTCCAATCCCCCCCTTTTCCCATTACTCACTTTACCCAGATCAGCTTTGTTGGTCCTCCAAAGTGTGTTTCCCAAATTGTGTCCTGAAACCGCTACCCTTCAACAAAGAAAAGAAAATTCCGGCTTATACAAATCTATACAGTTATCCTTTGGTTCCTGTGGGGGATTGGCTTCAGGACCTTTTTTGAATACCAAAATCCATGGATGCTCAAGTCTCTGATATAAAATGATGTTGTATTTGCATATAACCTACGCACATCCACCCATTTACTTTGAATCGTCTGTAGATTACTTTGATGGCTAACACAAAGTAAACACGATGGAAATTATTGTTGTACCTATTGTTTAGGGAATAATCACAAGAAAAAAGCCTGTGAATGTTCAGTACAGACACAATTCTTTTCTCAAATATTTTTGATCCACAGTTGATTAAATTCATGGATGCAAAATCCACGGATAGGGAAAGCCAACTGAATGTTTTGTTTTGTTTTTTTAAACTTCAGGAGTTTTTAGAGCCTTTACTATGATTATGGTTTTTCTCAAGACAGGATATGCAGCGTTTCTCAAACTTGTCTGGCACGTAGATCCTTCATCTCAGAGGATATCCAAAGAGCCAAGTCCATAAAAAACATTTTTGAAAAATGCTAAATCCAGCCGGGTGCAGTGGCTCAAACCTGTAATCCCAGCACTTTGGGAGGCTGAGGCAGCAGATCACTTGAGGCCAGGAGTTCAAGACAAAGCTAGCCAACATGGTGAGACCCCCATCTCTACTAAAAATACAAAAATTAGCCAGGCATGGTGGTGCACACCTGTAATCCCAGCTACTCCTCAGTGGGCTGAGGCACAAGAATCTGCTTGAACCCAGGAGATGGAGGTTGCAGAAATCACACCACTGCACTCTAGCCTGGGCGACAGAGTGAGACTCTGTCTCAAAAAAAGAAAAAAGGAAAAAAAATGCTAAATCCATAACTTACATTAAAGAGAAGGCTGTCTTAAAACATTTCAGTGGGTAATTTTAAAAAATTTATATATCTTTACACTCAGAAGTTTTTTAACTTAATATTTTGAGATTAAAGAACTAGATTCCTCCTCTCTACATTCTAGTCATTCTTTTGAGCCCTGAAGATTTCTCTTATAAAGTGACTTATAAGCATGCAAATTCTCCAGTAGTATCGAGGGTAAGGTAGATGTGCTGGGAGAACATTCAGGGACAGAACCAGTTGGCAAGGAAGATGCTCAAGCACTCATAGTTCCGCTGGCAGTGAGGGGAGGAAGACTCTTCTTCATCCATCCTAGGCTCCTGGCTGAGGCCCCTAAAACAAAAGACAGGCCAGGCACTGTGTCTCACACCTGTAATCCCAGCACTTTGGGAGGTCAAGGCAGGAGGATTACTTGAAGCTAGGAGTTTGAGACTATCCTGGGCAATACCGCAAGATCCTGTCTCTACAAAAAAAAATTGTTTTTAATTAGCTGGGTATGGTGGTGTGAATCTGTGAATCCAACTACTCAGGAGGCTGAGGTGGGAAGCTTGCTTGGGCCCAAGAGTTTGAGGCTGCAGTGAGCTATGATTGCATTACTGCACTCCAACCTGGGCAACAGAGCAAGACCCTAACTCAAAACAAACAAAAACCCAAAAGACTGATTAACAAGAGAAAAGCATACAAATTCATTTAATATACATTTTATGTGACATGGAAGCCTTCGCAAGGAGATGAAGACCTGAAGAAACAGGTTAACCTGCATCTTTTGTGTGCCAGGTTTGATGAAATGGATAGTTGTGGAGAAGTGTGATTGCACAAGGGGGTATGATCTAATGATGATAAACTTGGGGAACTTTGCAAGGCCTGTTTCTTCAGAGTCTTCCTATTGTCTTCAAAGAAAAGGATATTCCAATGCCCATCAGTGATAGACTGGATAAAAAGAAAATGTGACACATATACACCATGGAATACTATGCAGCCATAAAAAAGGATGAGTTCATGTCCTTTGCAGGGACATGGATGAAGCTGGAAACCAACATTCTCAGCAAATTAGCACAAGAACAGAAAACCAAACACTGCATGTTTTCACTCATAATTTGGAGTTGAACAATGAGAACACATGGACACAGGGAGGGGAACATCACACATTAGGGCCTGTTGGGGGGTGGGGGGTTGGGGAGTGATAGCATTAGAAGAAATACCTAATGTAGATGACGGACTGATGGATGCAGCAAACCACCATGGCACGTGTATACCTATGTAATAAACCTGCACATTCTGCACGTGTACCCCAGAACTTAAAGTATAACAAAAAAAGGATATTCCTTTCCTCCAGGTATAAGGGTACATCTCTCTTTTTTTGAGATGGAGTCTCACTCTGTCTCCCAGGCTGCAGTGCAGTGGCCCGATCTCTGCTCACTGCAACCTCTGCATTCCAGGTTCAAGAGATTCTCCCACCTCAGCCTCCTGAGTAGCTGGGACTACAGGCATGTGCCACCAAGCCTGGCTAACTTCTTTGTGTTTTTAGTAGAGATGGGGTTTCACCATGTTGGCCAGGCTGATCTTGAACTCCCAGCCTCAGGTGGTTCACCCACCAGTCATTTGACCTGCTTCGGGGGGAAAGGACAGAGAAAAGGTGAGAGTGATCTTCCTGCTTCTGCTATTTTCTCAGATATTTTGGGACTCGTGCCCTGAACCCAATCTGCAGCCAGCCTATCATTTGGCTGTGTAAACAGGAACCCAGGTAAGGAAGGAAGTGCCAATAGAGAGAAGGGAAGTGGCGCCAGGGTCAGACTCAAACTCTCGCCTACCCCACTGTTCATTGCTCAAGGCCTGGTGGTATACACGTGTCTGTGAATAACCTGCCTCTGCTATGTGAATGCTTCTAACTGTTGTTCAGTTAACCCACTAAAAAGAGAAAAACAGAATCAGACATCATGTGCCTCACAATGGAAAAACCACAGCATCTAGTATACTTACTAAAAAATGGAAGCTGGATTTTATTAGGTCTCCATATCTAATGATTAATTTGCATGAAATTAAGGGGAGAGAGAATTATGTTAAGAGAGACTATGGGGAGGCAATCAGCAAAATCCAGAATTAAGAATGTGAATAAGAAAATTGATTGGTTTCTCCACCAAATATACTGCATTAAACACACACACACACACACACACACACACACACACACACACACACACACAGGGAAATCTGTAGAATTAGAATAAGAGACTAGAACCATATCAACCAAATGCAATGCGTGAATCTTCAAATAAGCCAACTCTCAAAATATTTTTGAGGCACTCAGATCAGGGAAATTTGAGCCCTGATTAAATAGCTGGTATAATAAAGAATTATTGGCTGGGCACAGTGGCTCACGCCTGTAATCCCAGCACTTTGGGAGGCCAAGGCAAGAAGATCATCTGAGGTCAGGAGTTCAAGACCAGCCTGGCCAACATAGTGAAAACTTGTCTCTACTAAAAATACAAAAATTAACTGAGTGTGATGGCACATGCCTGTAGACCCAGCTACTCAGGATGCTGAGGCAGGAGAATTGTTTGAACTCGGGAGGTGGAGGTTGTAGTGAGCCAAGATCATGGCACTGCACTTCAGGCTGGGTAACAGAGCAAGACTCCATCTCAAAAAAAAAAAAAAAAAAAAAAGAATTATTAGGCTTGGCGTTATGGCTCATACCTGTCACAAATGTAATCACAGCATTTTGGTAGGCTGGGGCAGGAGGATCACTTGAAGCCAGGAGTTCAAGATCAGCCTGGGCAACATAGCAAGACCCCAACTCTACAAAAAATTTAAAAGTTAGCCAGGTAAGGTGGCATGCACCTGTAGTCCCACCTACTTGGGAGGCTGAGACAGGAGGATTGCTTTCACACAGGAGGTCAAAGTTACAGTGAGCTGTGATCACTCTACTGCACCCAAGCCGGGTGACACAGGAAGACCCTGTCTCTAAAGCAGACAAAAAGAATTATTATTATTTTAGATGTAATGAAGATATCATGGTTACATTGTTTAAGACCTTATATTTTAGAGATACAGACTAAAATATAAATGAAAATATATACAGTAATATGTAGGATTTACTCTAAATTAAACTCAGGGTAGGGGGAAATAGGTGAAGGTATTGGTGGAACAAAATTAGATGCCTACTAGTTAATAATTGTCAAAGCTGTTTATGGACACACTGTGGTTCATTATATGGCACTATTCTCTCTGTCTGAAATTCTCCATTATACTAAATTAATTTATTTATTGTTATTTATGTATTTATTTGAGATGGAGTCTCGCTCTGTCACCTAGGCTGGAGTGCAGTGGCGCGATCTTGGCTCACTGCAACCTCTGCCTCCTGGTTCATGTGATTCTTCTGCCTCAGCCTCCCAAGTAGCTGAGATTACAGGCATGTGCCACCATGCCCAGCTAATTTTTGTATTTTTAGTAGAGACGGGGTTTCACCATGTTGGCTAGGCTGGTCTCGAACTCCTGACCTCAGGTGATCCACCCAATTCAGCTTCCCAAAATTCTAGGATTACAGGTGTGAGCCACTGCGCCCGGCCATTACCCCAAATTTTAAAATCGTGTGTTGGGATTGGGGCAAATGAGTTGATCATCACCTTGTGGGCTACTGAAATTAGAAAAAAAAAAAAAGTTTGCAGAAAATTTCCATTTCAAGGTTGTATTTGGTGATGCTTCAGAAATGGAGACAGAATTCAGAACGGGAGCAGTCTGGTAGAGCTGGCCCTTCCTCTCCCATGCTCCTCACCCAGCCCCATGCAGAGGTAGGAGTCTTCAAGAGCTCCTATTCTTTTGGCGCCCACTGCAATGAAACTGCCTCTGATGAGAGAGAGGAGAGCTTATGGTACATACGGGCAGGCAGCCCACACTCCATCAATGTCTGGCCCTGAAAAAAGCAACCCCATCCCCAGCTACATGAAAGCTTTTCTCCCGTGTGGGTCATCTCCTGGTCTTGATTACCCATCTCTCTCCTGAGAAATATGACAGAAGCCATTGCTGCAGCTGTTGCTAGGTACCCCAAGTTCTGGTTCTGATGGGACCTGGGAATTGTCATGAAGTGCTTCCAGTGCAACATTCATCTCAGGGTGAATGAAAATATAGCATGATGGCTGGATCCTCATCTTTCTGATGAAAAACAAGAAAGTTTAATGAGTCAGAGCAAGGGAGAAATAAACAAGTTAAAGAATTTTCATACAACTTTAAGACTAAGGAATTCAATTCTAAAAATGTTAAAAATTTAAGGGTTTAAAGCTAGTGCTACTACTTCAACACTACTGTTCTTGCCTATTTTAACATGCCTACCCTATGGCTGGAATTATTATTATTATTGTCTCCTTTAACACCCAAGATTTATTTAAAAAGTGTATTAATGTACCAGGTACCGTATTAAGCCCCTTCAACATATCATCCACCTCATCCTCTCGACAGCTCAGTGAGGGGAGTATATTATTACACCCATTTGCAGATGAAGAAAGCGAGGTCCAGGGAGGTTAAGAAACTGGTCCTGGCTGGGCATGGTGGCTCACGCCTGTAGTCCCAACACTTTAGGAGGCTGAGGCAGGTGGATCACGAGGTCAGGAGATTGAGACCATCCTGGCCAACATGGTGAAACCCCGTCTCTACTAAAAATACAAAAATTAGCTGGGTGTGGCGCTGCAATGCCTATGATCCCAGCTGCTTGGGAGGCTGAGGCAGGAGAATCGCTTAAACCTGGGAGACGATGGTTGTGGTGATCCGAGATTGCACCCTGTATCCCAGCCTGGTGACAGACTCTGTCTCAAAACAAAAAAAAAAAGAAAAAAAAAGAAAAAGAAACTTGCCCTATATTCCTTTTGCTGGTGAGTTGTGGAAGCTGGATTTGCCTGACTACAGTACATAACCGCTTAACTGCTATAAAATCTTATGTAGAGAAAATCTTATGTAACTACTATACAATCTTATGTAAAGAAAACTGGTCTGTTTGAAATGGAGTTGGCACATTGAACATAATTGAACATAATGGTTAACGATTCAATGTTGCTACATGCAGAGGAACCTCCATGTCTCCCTCAGGCTAGAGAAAATGTGGTAAGGCATTTGGGGTCTACACTGACGATCAAATCTCCAGAATACTGGGTAACCTCATCCTTACTCTGTCTTAGCACCACAGCCAGGCTCCAACACTAGCCCCTAGTAAACAGACTCTTCAATTCAACGTACTGACGCACTGCGAAGACATCAGACACCATTGCAACAATCCTGGGAGGATGTTCTGAGCTCTGCCCTGCCCATTTGGGGCTGTAAGTTTGTGCAAATAACCATAAAATTAAACCCACCCAGGGAGGGCCATTGATTTCCAATTGGCACAGTTTGCCAGATGCTGTTTGGTCTAAGAACTGCCTTGACCTCTAGTAGTGACGCCGCCTGCCCTTGGCTTTGCAGGGTGTGTTCCCAGCAGGGAAGGCCTCTCCACTAATGCTTGCTGCTGGAACTTGGGCTGAAGACATGGTGGGTTCCCCATATGTTGCAGGGGAGAGGCCAGCCACGCCCGGCGTTGGATTCACCCTCTTATCCAACCCTGGGGCTGAAGCCACCCCCAGGAGATTACAGACGCTCCCACCCCCAACTAATTAAATAGGTGGCCTCCTGCTGTTAAAAGGGAATGAGGGCGGAAAAACAGAGGATGCCTGATTTAACTAGGACCTGGGTAAGTAGCTCACCAGCCAGACCCAGAAATCACCGATGCGTGCCTAAGCAGTCTCTAATGGGTCAGGGTGGTTCTATGCCTGAGATCTGGAGTTCTGCTTATTCTCAGCTGCCTTTGTACTTTCAAACCTGTAGTCCAAAAGACTCATCATGGAAGCTTTACTAATTATTAAAAAGAATATTATTCCATTAATGAGTCTATCTTATACAGTTATTATTATTACACACGAATCCTTGTGTTCAAACATTGGAATAAAAGTGACTATTCAAAGACACGATTTGTTTCTTGTAGTACAACCTGAAGACGATTCCACCCTCCTCCACACACGCAGGCACTCACATGCAGAGAGAGAGAGTAGGCTTCTGAATGCAAAGCTAAGTGTTTACGTAAGTTACCAGTACTATATCTAAATATCCATGCAATTATAAATTTAGATGGAAACGACAATTATATTTCCAATTAAGGAAAGAAACCCCTCGGACTTTTTCAGTTCAGCCTAACAAGCAAGTTACTAATTGTTTCAATGTTGGTTTTGCTACAACTCATTTAGAGGGAAAGCACCTGAGGTGCAAAGAGGAAGGCAGTTGTAATAATGGGAAATTGGACTAAATTAAAATGATCCTAAGTCACAGCACAACTAGGCCTCTTTGCCGCCAACTTTTGACATTCTAATTAGGGTAAATGATTATGCAAATCCAGTCAGTCGCTCTTTTCCCTCCCAGCTGAAGTGCTGGTGATTGTTCAAGTGAGGACTGTTGGTGGCGTAATTAAAGCTCTCCTAAAAATTAATTGAGAATTGGAGGACAGCCTCCAAAGATGCCCTAATTTGTGGGCCGCCCAGCACAGCTGTCCTTTTGTCCTGCCTGCCACCAGGACGCCTCGAGTTTCCCCATCAAGTGTAATAGAATGTGACACTCGAGGTGTTCTCAAGCCTCAGTCCTCACGAGTGGAGTGGAGAACAGGAGGGCAGGAGTCCAGCACACCTGGGTCACCTCCTTCTGGGCATGTTAGCCGAGGAAACAGGGTTGGGGTGAAAGAGAGGGAAAGAGAGCCTGAGGTGCAAAGAGGAAGGCAGTTGTAATAGTGGGAAATTGAGACCAAACACGGAGCACACAGAACACCTGAGTTTGGGGGCACCTATGAAATAAAATTAATCATGAGGTGATAAATGTTGAAAGTGCATGACAGATACTTGGTTGTCGAGGGGGTAGGGTAAGTATAGTAATTTGCTTTGTTTTTGTATATATTTAAAATATTTCATAATTTTTAAAAATGCATGCAGGCCTAGCGCGGTGGC